CCATTTGTTGATACAAAAAATTCAAAACTGTTGAAACAAAGAACAATGCATACGAGTTTCTAACTATATATATTGCAAGTAAAAAGCAAAGAATACACCCAAAAAAACATAAATAAAAAACAAAGAATCATTGTTTATTTGCTAAATGAATATATCATAATAGCCATTTGTTGATACAAAAAATTCAAAACTGTTGAAGCAAGCATTGCTTCTTCTTCTTCTTCTTCTTCTTCTTCTTCTTCTTCTTCTTCTTCTTCTTCTTCTTCTTCAACCAGTAAATATTTCCAAATAATGTAAGAAAGTGTTATTCTTTTTGTAGTTTTGCAACCAGTAAATATTTCCAAAGATAATTGTCTACTGATGGTAAATTCAGTAGACAATTTCAGAAGATGACTTCTTCTTCTTCTTCTTCTTCTTCTTCTTCTTTATAGATATATATTTAATTATTTATATATAGGAATGGAGTGAATCATATAAATTGAAATTGCTGAGGTAGGCCTCAACGCAGAACCAAGAGGACGAAGATGAATTTACCATCAAAAAGTGTTCAGGGAGAAATTACTGGATAGCTATCAAAGCTAATATCCTCATAATTATCTACTGAAATTAAATGATTTTGATCATGAAGCATGGCAATGGAAATTGCAAAAGCCTGCAGCAGAGGAATGGAAGCCTTGAATTCTACTGTGAACATATCATCTTTAAAAGAAACCATGCTGAAAGATGGCTTTCCCTTTCTTGCATCGCCCTGAAACAATACAAGACATTTTAGGATCAATCCATAGTTTTCAAAAAAAAAAAAAAATCAATTTGTGAGAGCAGATTAATTTAATTACTTCAGTGAAAAGATCAAATCCACCAGTTCCATGATCAACAGTAGCTCCACATTCATTGACTGATTTGGAAATATTGTTCATTTGTTGGGAGTGGTTGGTTAAAATTGTCAGCGCACAACCTTCATCCCAACCTCCACAGTCGCATGCCCCTCTCGATTCCCACTTTTCAATCAATTTGGAGGGCTCTCTTGTGTTGGAGAAGCCATGGACGCCACTGGGAAGAATAGCAACAATGCGTGGAGAACATAGCTTCTGGTGTGAAGATTCAACTACTATGGCAGCAAGCTCAGTCCTGCTGGATGGATTAGTGGCGTCAACGTGATTCTGATTCGACGAGGATGATGAAGGCACCAGTTCATCACCCAAGAGAACAAGCTCTCTTATGAAAGACCGATGCTTGAGATCAAAGCTAACTCTCTCGGAATTCGAAATAATCAATTCAGCGGCAAACTTGCAGCTGAATTCAGGCTTCTTGCTCTTTGTTCCTTGGCTTAACCAGGCGCCGTTTTTTTTCTTAACCTCTACAGCCATAGCTGTGTGTATTTCATAAACACAGTCACAGATGTTCAGGTCAGGGTTGCCTTGTTTATGCATCATGGCCACAAGAATACTATCATCACTAGATGAGAACATGAGAAGAGGGAGCCCATTCCTCCAACAGAGTTTCAGAAGAGCTTGCCGTGTCAAAGATGAAGGGATTGGATCAACGGCACCGCATGATTCTTGTGGCAGCCGCTGAGAAGAATTGACAGATGTAGAAGACGACTTTCGTGGAGACTCGAGCATCTGCCTCAAAGGACTACGCCTTCCTCTGCTATTACTTCTCGAAACAGAAGCATCAGGATCTAATAACACCTGCTTCACTGGGCTACGCCTGCCTCTGATGCTGCTTCTAGCAGCAGCCGTATCGGAAATATCAGAAACTGAACAGACAGAGGAGGTGGACTTCCGCGGTTGATCGAAAAACAGCCTCATTGGGCTTCTCCTATTTCTACTGCTACATCTCGAAATAATCTCATTGGGATCATCTGCAATGGATTTCAAAGGACTTTCACTTCTCCCTTTCAAATCAACTCTAGGAAGAACAATGGGTGACAGTTCTCTTTCAAAAGATGTTTTTTTATCAACTTCAAGAGATTCTTCTCTATGTGTATCGGAAGAAGGCGCCGATGAACGTGGAGGAAGAGAAAATTTTCCGGACAATCTGCCGCTTTTCACATTTTTCATATTCCCTTGATCAGTCAATGCGGCATCAAAGCTAAGAATGCTTCTAGCAATTATTTCCTCAAGATGTTTCCTCCTATTTTTTGGTCCATCTCCATCCTCGTTTAGATGAGACCTGCAACTTTCCTGCTCAAAGCTGATTTGGAATTTCTCTAATTCATTCAATCTGGCAACCTTAGTGCTCTCATTACCGAATAACAAAGCAAAGTTCGCAGAACCTTTTGAGTCTGCAGGTATACTACCAATAATGTCTGCTGCCTCTTGGGACTTGGTTATTTTTTTACTTGAATCTTTTCTCCTAACTTTTCTTTGATCCTTTTCCTCTGAGTTTGCCAAATTTGAAATTCTACTAAAAGTAGAAGATTGCTTCCTTTCAGGAGGAGGAAGACTGGCATCGCTTCTTGAAGAAAATGGAGATGAGGAAAATGTGGACACATTACTAATAGATGGAGAGTCATTGCGTTTATTTGCAAAAAGCTGTTTTTCATGATCTGCCCACTCTTGCAGACGCCTCCAATCAAGAACACCAACATTCAGCACCTTCTCCTGAATGTTGTACGACCCCTTCTCCTCAAGCTGAAGATAGCTAGGGATACTTGACATGTACTTGACAATCTCTTCAGCCTCAGAAAACTTCCTTCTATGTGAAGGCAGCAGATGAGTTCCTGATGTATTCATTTGCGATGAATTTTCAATTTTATCTTTTCCAGCATCTTTTGAATGCATTTCGAGCTGCTGCATTTGAACTTTGGACTTGGAGACCTTATCATGGTTTGGGAATTTCTTACTTGTTTTTTCTCCAAAGTTGAATGGTAGATGTTGTCCTGAACTCCTTATGAAAGGTGCAAGATGATGAGGACTGGTAATTTCTTCATGTGCTGATCCCATCTGACGTTTTAGCTTCTTCACTTTCTTAGTTGAAACTACAGGTGAATTTGGTGAAGCTTGTGGATATCAGTTTCAAATATAAAAGAAGAATTCAATCTCAAATAATTGAGCACAGGAGTATCATCTATTACATAGGGCTAGAAGATTGGATTAAGCAGAAGAGATACATTTTTCTAGTTTTCATAGATATTCCAAAAAGAATAACACTCCCATTTCTTCAAAATAATATAATTCGTAATAAGTGTTGGTTAAAATTTTACAGTAAAGGGGGGTGAAAAATTTTACCCTAAATTTTTATAATATACATATTTGTAGAAGAATTTAAAGATAAAATTTCCATAATGTAACTAATTAGATTGGAATTTTCTTAAATCTAAGAGATGAATGCCAACGAATTCATGAACAATTTATCCTCTCAAGCTAATTCCAACTAAAAGCAACAAATTTCCCCATTTCTCACAATTGAAAGCAGCAGTATTCATGAATACACCAGAAAGCACTCGACTGAAACCAATAATTATTGAATTATAATAAAAGCTCCTCATTTTCCTTCAGTAATCAACACTTCCCTTTCCCACCCCCTTTAGCTTTGCAGATTTCTATGCTATTTAAACAGTATGTTAAAGCATCCCAACCAAGCAGAACGGAACACTTTACCTAATTTCCTTTATCTGCAAACTTAAGAAAATAAAATAAAGAAAAAATAAAAACATCTAAAAGAAAAAAAAAAAAAAAAAAAAAAAAAAAAAAAAAAACTACAAGTATTTCTTTACATCTTCTGACCATCTGCAAGTTCAAAATCTGACAAGAGAATCAAAAGAATTGAATTCTTACACTACTACAAACTAATAACAGAAACGATCTGCAAAGAAGCCGTCTTTAAGACAGCTTAATGAAAATGAAAATGAAAATGATAGCGATAACCAACCAGTGCAATGAAGGAAGAGATCTGGAGCAGAGATGCATACCATAATTTATTGAAGAAGCAGCATCAGTATTTCTCTGTGGCTTCCAGCTTTAGAGCTCTGACGAGTTGAAGAAGAGAGAGAAAAAACCAGACAGCGCAAGAAAATGAGGGACGGCTTTCGACTTATTTGGGGATCTGGGCCTTCCAAGATTGGCCGACTGTGATTCCCTTTGAGAATTATTGCTGGCTTGGCATCCATTAAAGGACCCACGCGGAATCAGGCCGAGGCTGGGTCTCAACAGCGGAGTGTTCGAGAGCTCAATGATTTAATTTCGGTTAATTGATTTTTTTTTTTAGCAAATTTTAATCATAAATTTGTATATAGTTACCTGCCAAGAAGCATTCAATCTCAATACTTTGTCCCGTACCTTTAGTTAGTAAAATAATTGAAAAGAAAAATATGCGTATCAATATTAGTTAATATTTTTAATAAGAGACAGCTCAATATTTGATATAACATATGCAAATATGTGTGTATTATATTATTTAGCTATTCAATGTTTTTGAATGGCATAAAAATCAATATTTATGATTTTTATGAAATTGTCAAATGAATTCTAGCATTTTCTTCTGGATTTTGTCATATTTAATTATGGGCAGGTGGAAGTGGAGGGAAAAAAAACGACATGAGGATAAATATGAGGCGGAAAATAAGGCTGTAAGGACCTTGATGAGATCAATATTTTATGTTGACGATAATGGTTGAAAGCCAGATGGTTAGTTTTGGTGACGGAAGGTGAAAACGAACCTTACAAATGTCATTTTACATTTGTTCATATTTATTCGGAATAATTGCAAGGCTATTTCATCCTAATTAACTACAGCTGTACATATAGCCCTTTTTTGGTTGCACATCAAGCTTAAATTTCTCAAGTATCCTACTTTTTTTAACTGCCCTTAAAGTTTATTATAATTTTAGATATTCTCATAAAGACAAGATAAAGCTTGATAATAGAAACAATGTGTGAAAAAGTTTTCTTGATAAGATAAAAAACCCGCTCATTTAGCTTGTTAAGCTAAAATCTCACTTATTAAACTCAACAAAATCGATTTGATAATGTTGAGAATCGGACCTTGTTTTGGGCTCTATTGGTAGGAAAGGATATTGAAGAAATTTAGGGGTTTATTTGTAAGAAAATGTTATGAATGGAACTTTTTGAAGAATTCTTTCTTTTCGTTATTACAGCCCAAACCTAATCGCCGTCTCCCTCTCTCTAGCCAGCCGCAACTCCTCTCTCTACAGGCTGCCGCTTTCTCTCACTCGAGACTCTCTGCAGGCCACCACTTTCTCTCGCTTTCACAATCGCCCACACATTTCTTCTTCAGAAGCGCTGCTCCACCTGAAACTACTGAATAACAAGATTGCGACTTATAGAGAACAAACCATAGGATCGCGGTGACATGGCGATAACAGGATCGCGGCTTTCAAAGCACTGCAACATGATCACATGTACATAGGCAAAGGATCAAATTTGTGTGTGATCTAAACTTGGATTCTTGTGTTCGAGAACGTAAGGAGACAAAATAGTCCAAGAGGTAAAGGATTGAAGCCTCTAAGAAAGCTAGATCCTAAAGTTCTGAAGGGCTTGGTCTAGCTCACAGACAGAACTATAGTCTCGACGAGATACCACCTCAGCACGTACACCGACAAATGTGAATTTAGATCTCCCTCCTGTGGATCTGAACCTTGATGGGCCGGCCACAAATCTGAGTTGGTCGCTTCTGATCGAGGATGCTCTAGTAGGAAAGAGATTAAAGGGATATCTGACGGGAGTCAAGGTTGAGCCAGAGGGTGACACTGCTGAGGGGGATGAGTGGAGGACCACATACGCATTACTTTACACCTGGCTTCTCAACTCGATGGTTCCATTAATTGCCTCGGCAGTGGATGTCATTCGAAAAATAAAGGACACCTGGGCAAAGGCGAAGATGACCTATGTTGGGACTGAGATCCACATGCGGATGTTCTAAATTCAATGTACGATAGAAACAATGGTACAAGGTGATAAATCAATTCAGGAATATGCAATAGAATTGGAGCGGCTATGGACAAATCTTGATCACTTCTCATCGATGTCAAGTTGTGGCAATCCGGAATGCAAGAAAGAAAAGATCTTTACACAGATGAAAACAATGCAATTTCGGACCCATCTGAACCTAACATTGATCAGAGGAGATTAGTTCTCCCAACTCAGGTGATTATCCCTTCACTGGGTGCAGCAATTGTTGCGATGATACATAAGGAGACTCACATGAAGCTACATTTTGATCTGAGATGACTTACGGGTGCACAATCAGCTTTGGCTGCCTCAAGCTCAAGTATGATAGGTGTCCATGGGGAGACTCATTAATGTTACAACTGTGGTGAAGTTGGGCATCTGAGCAAGATCTATCCTAAGGCACCTAAGGAGAGAGAGACGGGTGGACGTGGACAAAGTGCAGGCCATGAATGTGGTGGTCGAAAAGGTGAAAAAGGGAGCTACCGGGCAAATCTTATGATAGCAGAAGATGGAAGGACGTGTGGTTTTTGCCAATGAGGATCATGAATGTCTGGAGTTATTGAAGAGGAAGCAAAAAGCAATAGGAGATGTGACTGAGGATGCTTCCAACCAGTCGTCATCAAGGGGTAATATTGTCACTTAACCTCACTTTAACAAAGATATTTGTCATACACATGCTCTTGCTTCTATTTCCACCACAAAATTATCAGAATGAATAATAGTGTATGGTGCATCTTAACATGTGTCGGGTACTACTATAGAGTTTTCTTTCTATACTCCCCCAGCAGTACTAGAGAGCATCCAGACCACTGATTATACGACGCAGACTGTAGTTAGTAAGGATACAATGAGAGGTACCAATTATATGACTATGTCCAATGTTTTGCATGCTCCTTTTTTACAGTGAACCTTATATTCATTGGAATCATTATTCTCCAACTAAAATATTTTGTTTTTCCTAGGTTGAGCTTCAAGAAAGAGACAGGCAGGACACTTGGACATGGCATATTGGACTTTGATACTTGGACCAAGAGAGGATGGACTTAACTTTGACATCCATGTCAGAGAGTGTTGGAGTCGGAAAATCTAAGAGTGTAGATGTTGTGTTGTTGCTACATCACAGACACATGGAACACCCCTATTTTAGTTTATCAAATCGGTTATACCTTCCTCGTATGAAAAGACAAAAAAAACAAAATTTGTTTGAGATTCTTGTGAGTTTAACAAGGCTACTAGAAGCCCTTATATCAATTTTGGGAATAAGAGTTTTGATATTTTTAAATTGAAACATTATAATGTTTAGGGACTTTATTTTATAAGGTCTGTGAATGATTATTGATATTTTGTGACCTTTATCGATTGTTTTTCTCATGTTACTTAGTTATATATAAGGAAAAATAAGGGCGTTGTGTTCGCTTGCTTTAAAGACATTCACAAGATAATTTAAGGCTCAATATGGTGAAGTAGTGAAGATATTGAGGTCTGATAATGTGACGAAGTATATTAACAAAACATTTGATAAATACTTGCAGCCCTAAGGACACAGTATCAAACCACATGTTTTTACACACTCATTGCATTGAATGTCTCAAAGCACTTATGAGGCAAACAATTTTGGCAGTTGCTCAATTGATCAACAAGATGTCCTCAAGGGTGTTGGATTAGAAGCCTTATTATAAGATGTTGAAAGGAGATAATTGTGATATGCTTCTATTGAATATATTTAGTTGAGTATGTTTTATAAGGAATAGCAGACCATCAATAGGAAAGCTAGATCCCATATATGTGAAATGTGTGTTCGTAAGTTATTCTGCAATCCAGAAGGGAATGTCTACTGGAGCCCGATAAAAAATAGACTATTTGTGAGCATGAATGTGTTTAGAGAATTTGAACCATACTACTCCTAGGAGGTGAATTATAATTCCATCAGATAGTAGAAGTTGGTTTTTTGGTATGTAAATGGAAACACTCTTGTTTGCCTGACTTGTGGCTCATTGTTGATTAGTGTTAAATGTGAAATTCTAAGGAAAGCAATCAATTACAACCTTGCATTGCATTCTTCCCATGTACACGCAACACCACAACACACAGAGATAGGGGGAGAGAGAGAGAAAGAAAAGATACAGAAGAGGATAGAAGGGATGAATAAAGCCACAGGAAATGACGCCATAGTAACCACATAAGTTCACTCCACAGGCCCGCGAAATAAAAACTACATGATCTAGCCAAAGGAAATGACACCATAGTAACCACAAAGTATTGCAAGTTTGGAGAATGGAATCGGCATCAACATGCTTCATAACTTCACCATTCTTAATAAAAAAAACCAATTCTCCATGACAAATACTGATGAGAAAGTGGCATAACATTTTAAAAGAATGTCTTCTCATTGTAGTGACATATTTAACTATAAAAAGTTCATAGAAATAAAAGGAGATAGATACAAGGGTTAGAGACTTGGAGAAGAATCAATCAAGCACCAGACGGGGGCTTCCAATACCGTAGAAAGAATCAATCAAGTCAAACTACCACAGTGTGGAAGCAACGGTTGCCAACAACAAACTTCAGTGGTCGTTCAAGCTGCTCCATACTTGGCAAGTGATAAAAAGCTTCAATTTGAACAACACAACAATTTTATTCATCCTTCACAGAAATAGTTACGAGCATGCTTCCGAGGATTTTTGAATCCCCTTTATTTTAACGCATCACAGCCACCAGAACCATCACTATACTGATAGCAGATAAATAAATCAAGGGACAGTTACATTCATACCACCCAATTTATATACATTTACATGTCTAACAAAAAAACTTTACTTTTTACATTTACACAAGCCAAATCATTCATATCACATAAAAAATATTAGTTATAATAATCAATAGCTGGTTAAAAAGCTTTTGAATTCATGTTATATTACTTATATTAAATTGTATATCAAGTTTATAACTCTGTAAGCACAATTTATGCTTACATATTTATGCAGACCATCATGCAAAAAATCCAGCACTTATTTTGTCAACATGCTTTCATATAGAATGGAGGGCCTGCTTGCAGGATCGATACCAATCATCTTTTTGTTCTTTCACCATTCTGCTTCTTCAGAAAAGGAGAAAGAAGAGGATCTCCAAATATTCTCCACATTTCATTTTTAATAAAAAGGATCAATGGGATAGAATCCTATCACTATATACATTTGTACTGTTGGTTATTCTCTAATCATTTGAATGAAAATAGCTTTGCCAGAGAAGGAAGAGGAGATGCCGAGGAAGAAGAGGAAAGGGCTCTACCTGTCGAGAGAACGATTGTCGATAAGGGAGGAACGGGTGGAGCACGGGAGTTGCGAACGAGAACGAGGGCAGGGAGATGTGAACGATAAGCAGAGCACGGGAGTGATAATGTGAATGAAAACGCGGCCCAAGGGGGTATCCCTCGGGCCTCATGTTTCACAAATACAAAATCTCATTTTTAGGTAAGCTAGCAAAACTCACAAACCAAACGGTAAATCTAGTCTTCTAGAGACAAATATGGAGAAAACTATAGCATAGATCTTGCTAAGGATGATTGTGATGCAAGCAGAGATTAATTGTAGTTCTTAAAGTAGATAGCAATGGTGAAAGTATGATTACAGTGGGTTTGAACGGAGATGACTATAACATAATTAAGTTTACCATGAAATTTTTTGAATGAGAAGATTACAATATAAGCCAGGTTTCAGTGCAAGTCTTGAGAGAGATAGTTGTAGTGCTAGAAACTTTATGACAAAAACATGAAGAAGATTATTATACCAGTAACATTATTCACACATCTAAATGTAGAAATTATTACAGCATAGTAAATTTACAGCATAAGTCTTGAAGGAAATAAATGTGATGCAACTGAGTTCAAGGAGAAGTTTAAATATGATGATGATGCTTGCAGAATTATGATACAGATTTTAAAGGAGACTAATCATGACCTTATGAGCTTTGATATATACTTTGTGTTAGAATTGACTAATTAGTGTTTTGAGAATAATAGAACTCAGTGGTAATATTGAATGGTTTTCTAAATATTCAATAGGTTATACGTGCATACCCAACCTCACTTAGGTAGACAAACTAGTTAGCTATAATGGATTAAACTAATACAAGTTTCGTCCTAATTGCAATGTTGAAAGTAGTATCTGTTATCAGGGTGACATATCTAGCTAAGCATGATTATTAGTATATAAGCATAGCCATGAAGTTCAATTTGGAGCAAAATTTTTGGAGCTTAAATACAACCACGTTTCGACAATCCTAAGAAGTTAATTGTTGCGTTTATGCAAAGCCACCCCTACTATGAAGACTTAATACATACCTAGCATAATGAAGTGATACAATTAGGGTAGCCTCACACATTTCATCATTCATGCAAATCTGCCCTTTGTTTTTATGTAAAAACCAAGAAATATTGATGTCATTTTAGGGCAATTTCAATGTTCTAGATGTGTCGGCGCAATCTGATTTACATCTGATGACATTTGGCTGTGTCGACAGCTGTCGAGGTATTTCAAATTTGATTCCTACAGAATGAAATTTGTAGTCTGCCATTTTTATTTTACTTAATTCATATTGTAAACGAAGAATGTTTAGATAGACTTAATTGTGCTCGAGTCAATTTAAACCTGATTTGCACCATATTGCGCTAGTTGTATATCATCTTTAATCGATTTCACTCGAGCTGACTAGTGGAGAAGCAATTAAATGGAATTAAATGGAACCAAGTGTTGTTTTGCTCAAATCTCTATAGAAGCTGAAACGATATTGCAGTTGCACATCGTTTAAAAATCAAGCAGGCAATAATGTTCATCAATTTTGTCATGAAATTAAGCAATTGGTGCAATAAACAAGCTGCATTATAGATAGTGCTTCATCCACCAAGACAAAATGATACACCATGTGTCATTTCACCATTGTTGATATTATTTCTTCTAATAACTTTTTTCCACCATAAAAACCCAAAGAGAAGTAGATGCTCAGTTCATCATAACAATGGAAGCCATTACAAATGGTCTGCCTCTTCTCGCTCTGCTGTTGCTTTTTTGTACCACAGGTGTAAAAAGAGCCAATGGAGCTGGAGAATGTGGTAATGTTTCTGCTGATACAGTGGCCTTTCAGATGGCTCCATGCGCTTTAGCCTCACAGGATGCAAATACTGTAGTTTCAGCACAGTGCTGCTCAGCAGTTCAGAAGATCGGGCAAAACCCAAAGTGTCTGTGCGCGGTCATGCTTTTGAATACTGCAAAGAGTGTTGGAGTGAGTCCAGTTGTCGCCGTGACAATCCCCACGAGATGTGGAATTGCAAACAGACCGGTTGGATACAGATGTGGAGGTGAATTTGGATTTTTATTGTTTCGATTTCATGAACATTCTCATACTATGCTTATGCTTACAATTGTTTTGTTGTATTTGCATCTATGTTTGCAGGCTATACTTTGCCTTGAAAGTGGATTTTATCTAGTTTACCATGTAATGAATGTGATGCTGTAATTGTAATAAAATGATGGATGATGTTTGAGATGTTTTGTCGATGCTCTAATATTTAAACATAACTTCGATAAATAAGTGCAGAGCTTTCTGTGTGAGCTATTGTAAGTTCATCCCAGTCTAAAACTGGAAGGAGATGACTTATGCATGGTGTCTGGATATATCATAGAAAAATTAAAGTCACAACTATAATAAGAAAAAGACATTAGTGTTAAGCTTAAAAATTTTGCATTTATATCAAAAAATTAATATGATGCCGGAGGATCTAAGCATTAAATACTGTAAAATAAATAAAAAATTACATGACAATAAAAAAAAGAAACAAGTACTAATTTTTTATATGAATTATAAAAATGGCTGTTAAAATTATTCAAATGATTTGGCACTACATAGGAAGCATATAATTCTCATAGGCAAAACATTCTCTAATGCAAGTGAATACTCAAAAAATAATAATTAAATAAAATACGTATGAGATATTAAATCTATAGAAAAAAAAGCGAAGAAACAATTTGATCAATACAAACCAAACATCAATTAATGGTAGGTTGACAGATTTCAATACTAGCAATTATTTTATCAAAACTTCAATATCAATAAGAATTACTTTTAGAGCTACAGTTGACCGAGCACAATGAGAGAGTCACTTAAAATCCTAGAAATTTAAAAGTAAATCCAGTTGAATTACATTTCAACATGCACAAGCATACGCATCAATTTCTTCTGTAACAGTGTTTGACACTCAAATTAAACTTATGATAGCAAAATGAATTTTGTCACAAAGAAATATTGAAATAACTATGTGATGAATAGTGTAAAAGATTAATATCAATTGAATAGAGTAACAATTGTTATAAAAAATAAAAGTATATACTTCAATAATTTAACACACACAATACCAAACACAAATAAATCAACATTGAGCTGATAAAAAATGTATATAATTCCAAAGAATTCCAAAGAAAAAATACTGTACGAATATGACTAAAATTTATTGAAAAAAAATCTTGCACAAAATTTCAAGGATGACAAAACGGAGAATAAGAAAAAAATGTGGACATATGAAAAAGCCGAAAAAATGAAATTTTTGCAATTCATGAAGGAATAAATGAACCTGAAACAAATGATCCTGCCTGGTACTGAATAGAAACAAATATCATGGCAGTCCCAATATATGATTTAAATGACAAAGCACACGCCTTAGAGACAAATATTTTTCAGGAAGAGAGAGCTAAATGGACAGACTAGGGCCATAATATTGTCATCACTTTACACCCTTTCCATAATTTCCCAACCAGTAGATAAGGATGCCCACTGCTTTCTTTAAAACTTTCTATCAGAAATCGGGATACAAAACTCAGAATAATTTCCTGAAAAGAACTATTTAGACATGTCACCTTTCCTTCACTGTGTCGAATGGGTTCATTTGATGCACTGTGAAGGCCACCTGAAGACATCCCCATTGCCCACCATGCAAACAATGCTTCACATAAATATCTCATGCTGCCAAACATTAAAGGCAATGAGATTAACCTTGCCATTCCCGAAGGTGGAATTTGTCGGCCTCAGGAGGTAGCGAAGCTCCTCCTTAGATGCCGCATAGGAACTGTCAATCTTGTTGCTGAAGATAAGGAATGGGATGTTAGCCAGGATACATTCAGAGAGTTGGGCGTTGAGCTCCTTTTTGACTCTGCAAACCTCTCCTTCTTTGGCTTTGTTTCCGTTCATTTTTCTATCTTTTATTTTAAAATGAGTCGTCAGTTTGTCAATCATTGTATACTTCCCTCATTCGAATAAATCTCTCTCCCGAATCATATCGGTGATTTGAAGAAGAGAGGAACCGAATAAGAAGGGACATACGACAAAGAGACAAACAAGAGAAAAAAATAAAACGTGAAGAGTCTACGTGGTATAAACCTCGCAATGATAGGTCAAGAATATCCGCCCAAACAAGTTCGGGGGGAGGCACCTTAAACCAATATCCGCGAAAGAAGTATTTATGTAGAGTACTCATAACCAGAGAGTTAGGTGTATGTACATGTTCTGCGGTCAAGAACACTCCCAGAGGAATGTGTTCCTACTGGTTAATTACATCTTAGGGGATACACAAGAATACTCTCGATAAAAGGAGTTTCGCTTATATTATCATAGACCTGGGGTATATGCAATCAAAGGAATGTTATTCCGTGTGGGAACAGTCCCGATGCTTTAGAGCTCACGTTAAGTCATCGGGCAGAGAGTGAGTCTCTCACATGTCAAATAGGTAGCGGCTCATCGACACATGGGGCCCACGGAATAACCATAAATCATATTGACGGGGATATCCCAACACGTCAAAGCACGTCCGGGTCATAAGGGCAGAGGACAAATCGTCTTATCCCAAATGGGCGGCAGCTCATCGTCATCAGATCGTCAGAATGATATCGACGAAGTCAAATGAGCGACAAGGCCCAAAGGGGCTCAACAAAAGGAATGTAGAGTAATCCTAGAAGATAGAGGCAACTGGGTCGAGATCCCATAGACTCGTCATCCACAGCTACTAGGACCCTAAGTATACCTGGTCGTGAAGGTAGTCAACCCAACAAGTCCTGAGATTCTCGGTCAGCAATCTCAGCAATCCGTGAATTGCGTCATCCACGGGAACCTCGGTAGCCCTAAGGTCAAAGGAAGCAAACTCTATCCTATGACTATGAGCTAGAGCAAGAGGTGGGACTTATACCTGTCGAAGTGGCAAGGATACCTCAGGAAAGAAGAGAAAATGGAGTTTCAGCTACAAAGTTGGAAACGCTTCAAACAAAAGGACTTACACCACGCTGGGTCGGAGAGCCTTCTAACACCCTAGGTGCACTATTGCACGAGACAACCACTTATATGAAGGTATGCTGGGCCAGTCAGATTGGAGAAGTACGGGGAATCATCTTCAGGATATGCAAATATGAATGCAGTTATCTAGAGCGGTCCTAAGTATTGTAGAGACCCTATAAATATGCGTGAAAGAAAAAGCTCTATTAATGCCTACAGGAAAGTAAATTCTAAATATTTTAATCCTAAATTTTAATTATCTTGAATATTTTATTTAGGATTTTGTAGAAAATTATAATTTTAGGGTCCTTAATGAGCCTAGATTATATCGTGAAATCTCAGATAAACCACAGAAAAAAATAAGAAAAACCCATGCAAATACAGGCATGCAACATGATGCAAAAAAATAAAACAAGCCAAATTAAAATAATAAACAGACCGGTGTCGCTGGGTCGACAACATATCCCAGAAAAGAAAAGGGTGGTTAGACTCCGCAGATACATGTTCGGTTCAAATTCTATACATCAATATAAAATGTAGAATTAAGATACGGGGCACGAGCATCTGCTCTCGGTCTCTTCCACGTGATTCACGTGACAAACGTCTTGGAACTCATGCACGTATCTTATTTCTGCTACAGGACTCTCCTAGATTCTAAAAGTACATTTAAAAAAAAAACTCAATTCTGTATGAAAATAAGTGTTAGCGGGAAAGCTCACATGCAAATAACGTACCATGAGTCATGCCTTATAAGTGGGGGAGCTAAGTAGCATCTGCAAGCAAAAGGGTCAGAAATCATCACATGCTCCCCCATAGCGGTACTTGTGTGTGTGCATGTCGGCACTATTTTTGGTGTGGGGTTTGCCCGTAAGAAGCTGTCGGTCATCGGAATTGAAATCCCGTCCCCCGCTTCGGAAGGACGTTTTAAAAATTTTAGTTTTGAAAAAGATGAAGTCAAACTGACCCCATAATTTTCATAGTTTAGATGAAAGAGCGCTTTACATCAAATCTTGTATCTATCCCGAAGGATGAATACAAGAGTTAAGGGTGAGGCTCAATCAAATAAACTAAAAAAAGTTATGACATTCGTTTGATCTGTGAAACCAATGTATTGGCCGACAAGTTCCCCTATTTAATATAAGGAATTAAATAGGGTTTATATTATGCTGGGTTCGGGAAAAGCTTCCTATAAGGGCAAGCCCCTATAATTAATTACATCATAGATAACTGAAGTTATCTATGAATACTCTCGATAAAAGTCAAGAAAAATTACCGTCAATGAGTTCAAATGGTAAGGACATTTCAAAGATATTGGACTAAGAAGTGTGAAAGGGGATTGATTCAAATTTGAAACATTTTGTTTTGGAGTCCAAAGAGGAAATGCTAAAGAATGTCACGGATCCGAAGGAGAACTTCGGTGACTTCCCAAGCTATCATATTATTTGGCTTCAATTTAGGAGAAATCATTTAGATGTTTCATCCTGCAATATTTATTTATTAGGATTTACATTTGTGTGAAGCAATCAACACAAATAACCTTGAAGATGTGAGGATTTAGGTCATAACGAATGACAACCTCGGAATCCTAAGGC